TTGAGAGCTATGCCAGACAGGTCAAGGGGTAGGAGCCAGACAGAGAGGGATACCCTGGTCCTCCAGGTTGGGGGTTGGACGGGAGGCCAACAACCTCACACCGTAAAAAATAAATTGTTCAGAAATCCAAGGAAAGAGTAGCCGGATGGACCTATTCAAGACGACCTGGAAAATGTTTATAAAGGATTTGAGAATTCGATCTTGGAATGTATTATCTTTTTACAGAGCCGGAGCACTAAAAATGCTACTTGAACAACTAGATATCATTGCTATACAAGAACTGAGGTGGTCTGATAAAGGAGTCATGGAAAAGAGGGATCATGTTGTACTCCACAGATGTCAGAAGAAGTCACATGTTTGGAATACGTTTTATTGTTAATAAAGAAGGAAGCATCTTATTTTAGACTTCCATGCAAAATCTCACAGAACATGTAGGCTATGATTTAAGGGAAAGTTTTTTAACACCTTGAGCGTTACTTGAAGCGGAGCCATTTAAATCCCTAAGCGTGTGCGACGCAACATCTACGTCCGCTCAAACCCATGCTGTAAGCGTGCGCGCCACATATGTTGCATCCAAACTTTTCACTAAGAATTCTTAACGTTATACTCTGATGTATTTACTTCCAGTGAATGTATATGTGAGCTAATACTCACTTCTTTCATTCCTCGCTATCTGTTTGTGTGTGGTATTTTTTTACTCGCTTTGCTTCGGACAAATCATCTGGTGTCTGCTGCTTCCGAAATAACTGTTCCACTCACAATCCGATTTGTTTTCAGAGAGATAATTTGTTAGCTAACTTTCACTGAGTGCTGGTTATCTGTGTTTGTGTGTCTGTATTTTTTTTACTGGCTACAAAGCAGCTGTGTCTGATTTACAATGTTACGAACCTAGGGGTCAAAGTTGCCTGACGCCTGTGTCAACATTTATGAATTTATTTATTTTCTACCTTGTGACACTCTAGCGGAGCCCCATGGCATCTTGGTCACATAACTTGTCTGGCGGGACAGTTTCTTGCCCCTGACACAAAAAATCACGCTTTCAAAAGTGGGTTCCCACAACTTTGAATGAAATTAGGATATTCCTAGATTTGCTTATGCTGATGGGAATTCAGAAACCAAACCTCAGAATGTATTTTAGTAGGAAACAAGAGAAAAAGTGTGGTATGAAAAATTATTCAACCACTTAGTAAATACGGCAGTGTTGAATGTTTACATTCTGTACTGCAAGGCTGGTAACAAGAAAGATCATCTGTTATTCAGAACAGACTTAGTGAATAAGATCACAGCAAAGTCCCATGGACAGAATTTAGAAAAGCGCAAAGGGCATCCTTCAGATACTCACATGGAATGAACAAGATTGAGGGGCCAGCATTTCATTCAAGAAAATCCCAAAACCAAAACTTACAAAGTTGGAAGAAGTAGGTGTGTGGTGTGTACAAAAAAAGGGAAAGAGAAAAGAAACCAGATACAGGTGTAAAAACTGCCCAGGGACACCGTCTCTCTGCCTAGACCCCTGTTTTGAGCAATACCACACCAAGCTAAACTACTAGACACTAGTTATGGAGAGCTGGGAAAAAGAAATAGCTTGACAAAATGTAAGTACACATTAATAATAATGAACTGTAAACAATTCTAAATATAATATAATTTTTTTGAATTTTTCAAATAGCGATTTCATTATTAAAAATATTTAGGAAAATGTCTGCACAAAACCTTCAATGCTTGCAAAAACAGAGCACCGGGAGGGATTTAAGTACCCCCGCTTAAATTCATGCTAGATGCACGTAACTGAGCGGACACATATGGTGTGTCGCACACGCTTGAGGGGGTTAACTGTAGCCTTATTTGTGTACATGCCCCAACTGAAGATAAAAGTGATGAGGAGAAAGACTCCTTTTATGATGAATCGGATGAAATATATGGCGAATGCCCAAAAAGGGATTGTAAAATGATCATAGGGGACATGAATGCTAAAGTGGGGAATGAGGATGTATATAGATCGGTTATTGGAAAACACAGCCTACATAACAAGTGGGATAACATAATGGGATGAGATTAATATATTTTGCTTCCACAAGAAACATGGTAGTAGATAGTACAATGTTTAATCACAAGGATATACATAAACAAACCTGGAAATCCACTGATGGAAATGTGTTTAACCAAACTGATCACATCCTAATAGATGTAAGACATTGTTCAGACTTGATGGATGTCAGGAACTACAGGGGGGCCAACATTGACTCTGATCATTGCTTAATAATATCAAAAATTAGAAGTCAAATATCTAATGCAAGGAAGATACATGGATCCCAGGCTAAGAAATTGAATTGTGGAAAATTAGTGGAACAAGGAGTTGGCAACCAGATATACTGGATTAATTAGTGAATGCCTGGCAGGTATATCTGATAGTGAGGATGTCAGTGAAGCCAGCAGGGACCTCAGAGATGTTATTATAAAGGTTGCTGGTGCAGTCTTAGGAAGAATGGAAAGGATAAAGTATAAGAATTGGTTTGATGGAGAGTGTGAGCAAGTGACAAATGAAAAAAAAAAAACAAGGCATATAAGAGAATGCAGCAAAGAAACCATACTCGAGGGGCCGTGGAAGTATACCATGAGTGAGAAGAAAAAAGATTGCATAAAAAGAAGAAAAGGGAATATGATAAACCAGAACTGATTGAACTGGAGCATTTAAGAAGTTCAAACGAAATTAGAGTGTTTTATCAATAACCAAACAAGAGTCGAAAGGACTTTCAACCTAGAACAACCGTATGTAGAGATAAAGAAGGCATGATATTGAGTAGCAATGAAGCAATATTGGAAAGATGGTTGCAATAATTAGAGGAATTATTAAATGGTAACGCCTTTGAACAAGCGGAAGGTATGACCATAGACTGGGATCAAGGAAATTTTGAGGCTGAAGAGCCAGCGCCGACCATAAAAGAAGTAGAACAAGCTATCAAAAAATTGAAAAATAATAAAGCTCCAGGAATGGATCTCATCACGTCAGAATCAGTGAAATTTGCAGGCACAGAATATGCTAAGCACTTACATCAGCTAACAGTTGAGATATGGATAACTGAAATAATCCCAGAGGAATGGAACCTAAGTATTTTATGCCCTATCCATAAGAAAGGTGATGTCCTGGTATGCTCTAACTATAGAGGAATTAATCTCTTGTGCATAGCATATAAAATATTTTCCAACATTCTGTTTAACAGACTCTCTCCCTTTGTGGAAGGCATAATTGGGGATTACCAATGTTGGTTCCATCAAGGAAGATCAACTAACAATCAGATTTTCACTATTCGCCAGGTCCGTGAAAAGTGTAACGAATTCCAAATTGAAACACATCATCTTTTCATTGGCTTCCAATCAGCCTATGACTCCATAGATAGAGATAGTCTTTTTCTGGCAATGGAAGAGATGCACATTCCACGGAAGTTAATCGCCTTAGTCAGAGCCACTATGAGAAAGACCCAATGCCAAATTAAGATTCATAATATTGTAACGTGTTTCGTCACTGAATACGCCGTAGAGATTGTTAATTGGTTTATTCAACAACCTACAAGTAACGGCTACAATTATTTATCACACAGTTGCGGGGTTTCACACTTTATAACTTTAATCGCAATAATCTGTTTACACTGTTGCGGGGTTTCATAATTTATAACCCTATTCGCAAATCAATTCACTCTGTCTTCAGTAGTCTACACGTTTACAGTATGGGAGCTATGTAAGCGTCCCTGTATCACACACTCCCAAATACACACATGTCCAGTACTTCTTTCCGCGATGGCTGCTATATTCCAACTCAACTCGCAGGTTGCTGCCTTGAGAACTGTTGATAACACACTGGCTCTCGCTTGCTGCTCAGCCGGCTTTTATTCCTTTCACTGTTACCTGTTGCCTGCGTCAACAGTGTCGTTGCGTGTTGCGTCACAGTAGGAATCGGTGCCACGTCACTGTGTTTGCGTATAGCCTAGCAACGCTGTTATCTCACGCCGTCTTACGTCACCGTGCGTAGGGGGGGATGGAGCGCTGACTCATCCGCCACGTCACTGTGGGGGGGGGGGGGAGTTCTCCATTGTAACATGTCACAATATGTTGTCCAGTTCTATAATAACTAGAAATGGAGTTCGACAAGGGGATTCCCTAGCCTGCCTTTTGTTCAACATAGCATTAGACAAGGTAGTTAGAGATGCAGGCATCAACACAAGGGGAACTATATTCTATAAGTCAGTTCAAATTTTGGCATTTGCAGATGATATTGATATAATCGGTAGAACACAAAAACTATGAAAGAAGCTTTTCTTAATTTGGAAAGAGCAGCAAAAAAGATGAATCTACAAATTAACCAAAATAAAACAAAGTACATGCCAGTAACCAAGAAAGAATGTGCTAATGGACCTGCACATATTGAAATTGGCTCATATAAATTTGAGGTTGTATGTAGTTTTACTTACCTTGGATCAGGCTGAGCCATAGCTCAAGCGGTTAGTCACTGGCTTCCCACAGCAGCGGCCCGAGTTCGATCCCAGGTCTGGTCAATTGGGATTTGTGGTGGACAAAGTGGCGCTGGGGTAGGTCTTCTCCAAGTACTTCGGTTTCCCCTGCCAATCTTCATTCCACCAACTGCTCCACAATCACCATCACCTGTCATTTGGGGCTGGTACAATAGGCCAGAAGTGGCCGCGGTACAAGAGACTTAGTTCCACCCCACGAGCAATAAAAAAAATTAATACCTTGGATCAGAAGTTAACTGTAAAAATAACATCAGCGATGAAATAAAAAAGCGTGTACTTGCAGCATATAAATGTCTCCATGGCCTTAGGAAACACCTAAAATCCCAGGTAATACACCGGAAAACCAAAACTATGGTGTATAAAGTACTCATATAAGATCAGTGCAATTTTATGCCTCTGAGACCTGGCCACTGTCAAGATCGGATGAAAGACTGTTAAGTATATTTGAAAGGAGGATCATGAGTTACGAGCGTAAGTCAATAATTATCCGCAACGTAGCTATAAATTTTATATCAATACAAATAGAAAACTTACATTAACATCATTTTTCAGCATAGTCCCCTTGCCTTTCAACGCACTTGCTCCATCATTGCACAAGCTTCCTGATGTCCTCAGAAAAGAAGGTTTTCGGCTGAGCAGCGAGCCACGCATGCGCCGCTTCCTTCACTTCTTGGTCGGAGGTGAATTGACGGCCCCTTAATGCCTCTTTGAGTGGACCAAACAAGTGGTAATCAGAAGGGGCGAGATCAGGACTATACGGAGGATGAGCCATTACATCAAACTTGAGTTTCTGAAGGGTTTCAGCAGTGTGGGCAGCAGTATGTGGACAGGCATTGTCGTGCAACAACACAACACCTTTCAACAGTAGTCCTCGGCGTTTGTTTCAAATTGCAGGCTTTAGCCTGTCAGTAACGAGCACTGTTTATTGTTGTGCCCCTCTCCTGATAATGTTCCAGTACTGGGCCTTGTGAGTCCCAAAAAACTGTAAGCTTGTTTTCCTGCAGATGGTTGGCTTTTGAACTTCTTCTTGCTGGGCAATTGTGGATGTTTCCATTCTATACTCTGCCGTTTACTCTCCAGCTCGCAATGATGGATCCATGTTTCGTTACCAGTGATGATTCTGTCTAAGATGATGTCACGTTCGTTACCATAGCGATCCAAATGTTGTTGGCAGATGTCCAAGTGCGTTTGTTTATGAAACACTGTGAGTTGTTTTGGGACCCATCTTGCAAAGACTTTATGAAACCTAAGTCTGTTGTGGATGAAGTCGTAGGCAGAACCATAACTAATTTGCAAACAATTTGTCACTTCATCAATATTCACTCGTCTGTCTAACAGAACCATGTCACGTGCATGCTCAATGTTGTCCTCATTTGTGGCTGTGGATGGTTGTCTGGCTCCTTCCTCATGCGTAACACTTGTGCGACCGGTTTTGAATTTTTCAAACCATTCGTAGATACTCCGTTGTGGCAAAACATTGTTCCCATATTTTGCTGAAAGTCTTTGATGGATTGCAGCCCCTGATACACCTTCCGACCACAAAAACCGGATCACTGAACGTTGCTCTTCTTTGGCGCAAACAGAAAGCGGAGCAGCCATGATTAATGGCAAGGCAGCGACGATGGAACTGAGCTAGCAACATCAAACCTGCGCAGAAATAATGCTGCACAAAATGACAGTGTTGCCAACAGAAACACAAATACAACTGCATTGCGGATAATTATTGACTTCTCCTCGCATATCTTTGGACCAGTGGAAGAAAATGCAATATGGAGGAAGAGGTATAACCATGAGCTATACAAACTATTTAATGAACCAGACATTATTGGATTTATAAAGGCGAAAAGGCTTGAATGGGCTGGATACATAATACATGTCAATGAGAATAGAACGATTAAGAAAATACTTAATACTAAACCAGAAGGAAATAGGAAACTGGGAAGACCAAGATTGAGATGGGAAGAATGTGTGCGGCAGAACATGAGAATTTTAGGTGTAAAGAACTGGAGGAATATAGCATCGAATGGAGAAGAATGGCGAGCAATCCTGAGGAAGGCCAGGGCTCACAAAGGGCTGTCGTGCCAGTAATGATGATGATGATGATGTATTAAAGAGGCATAAAAGATGTAAGAACAATATAAGTGGCAATCCTACTTCCTGTACTGGCACACTAATTGACACAAGTAAGGAGGTTGGTCTAGAAGTAAACACAGAGAAAAATAAGTATATGTTGCTGTCTCATCACCAAAATGTATGGCAAAATCATGACATAACAATAGAAAACAGATGTTTTGAAAATGTGGCACAGTTTAGATATTTGGGAATGATGATAAAAATCAACACCTGATTCAGGAGGAAATTAAGAGGAGATTGAACTAGGGTAATGCTTGTTACCATTCAGTCCAGAACCTTGTCTTCTCGTCTGCTGTCAAAAACGTAAAAATTAGAATATACAGATGAGATAATTAAGTGATCAAAATATATATTGTTGCACTTGACGGAAAATCTATTGACAATTAGTGATTGATAGTGTAACGCACCAAAATGAAACAATTCAAAATACAAAACTATAATTTTGCCTCTGGTTCTGTATGGGTGTGAAACTTGGTCTCTGACATTAAGGGAGGAACATAGACTGAAGGTGTTTGAGAACAGGGTGTTGAGAATATTTGGACCAAAAAGGGATGAAGTGAGAGGAGGTTGGACAAAACTGCGTAATGAGGAGCTTCATTCCTTGTACTCTTCTCCAAGTATAATTAGAACAATCAAGTAAGGGAGGGAGGTGGGCAGGGCATGTAGCACAGATGGAGGTGAAGAGGACTGCATACAGAATATTAGTGGGAAAGCCAGAAGGAAAGAGACCACTGGGAAGACCAAGGCATAGGTGGGCAGATAATATTAAAATGGATCTTAGAGAGATACGACGGCATGGATTGGATTGATCTGGCTCAGGATAGGGACCAGTGGAGGGCTCTTGTGAACACGGTAATGAACATTCGGGTTCCATAAAATGCTGGGAAATTCTTGATGAGCTGCAGGTTTGGCTTCTCTCAAGTAGGGCTCAGCTCCCTGAGTGAGTGAGTGACTGAGTGAGTGAGTAAGTAACATGTTTCACTGTAATTGCCATAATTCCCTACAGTCTGTAGCACATTCATGTATCCCCAGACACTTGCCAACAGCTCCAATGGTTTGGCAACCTCCCTCGTGTCAGAGTTGCACATCACCATTCCAACTAAAGCTTGTGCAAATCTGTTCTCTAGGTGCTGTGTAAGATACTCTCGTGGAGCAAATGTGTACTCCCATACACTGAGTATATTATATAATATAATATTATATATATACATATATATATATATTTTTTACATTTCAAGGTAGCAGGAGGGACAGTTTTGTGCTTGGTAAGAACCTACCACATCTTCTTTTCAATTTGAGACATGGCAAACTTATGTAGAACTTCATAAACCCCTGATTCTAGTAGACAGGACATCTTTTCCTTGTATGTGGACTCATTCAACACTACTGTGCAGTTTCCTATGTCAACGTGTAGAATTCTTATATCCCTGTTATCTTTAAGAGATTTCATCATCATAGATCCCTTCCTAGTTATGTTTGATGTCAATGGTTTTGATTTTTCCAACACACATCAAATCCTACAACAGAACTCATAAAAAAGGCAGGGGGAAGTTGGACTTTCCACATTCAGCCACACATACGGTGTCCAAATTAGATATTATTTGTTACTGCAAAATTAAGCTCTTTCTTAAGCACTGATTCTTCTGACTATGTGAGAACGTGCTGTGATAAATTAGGGATGAATTTCTCACACCCACGAATAGCTTATGGGATTGCAGTGGTCTAGTGAAAATCTTTCACAGCTAAGAATTTTTAATCTGAATTTCTTTCTGCTTAAGTAAATTATTTTAAATTATAAAGTAGTCCATCTCTGATGCAACAAAGTCAATCCTTTCTTAAAAGACACTAAAATATATATGATTCACTAAAATGTGTTTGTTAAATATTTTAAAATGTCATGAACTATATACATTCAATGTCGCTGCTACATGGTTAGGCCACATATGGGTCATCATCAGGTAACACTTATTATATGGGGAGACCCATTGCACTGTACACTTTGTCCTTAGTACCCATTTGCACCTTGTTGTTATTGTTAATTTGCTATGTAGGAAGTACAAGGAAAAAACAGCACTAAACACACAGAACTAAGGAGAACGTGATATGCATGATTTGCCAACACATTCATCCTAATTGGGAATCTGGACTGGGACAAATCACAACTGCATACCTTGAGCCTTCACAGTCATCACTTTCATCGCCTTTCTTTTCCATTCTTCCCCAAGCACAGCTCCATATGCTATCGTCACGTGCAGTTTCTTTTCCATTAAGTAACGAATGCTGAAAAAAGTATTCTAATTAGTGACATAACCTACAAAACCAGGGCAGTAAATCGCTTTTCAACTGCATCACTACTCGTATTCGGTTCCTATACACAAATCTACAAGCTATGGACAGCAGAACTACAAGGTGACACAGAAAAACGGGAACTTTTGAGGTGCGTAGTGACAGCCATGTACAGTTCGTAGCACTACGGTAGGGGGACTATGAGCTGTAAACAATCACGCCATTCAGTAATAATGGAGGAATGGAACGGTAGACAGCGTGCTTTCGCGATAAAAATGTTTTCCAAAACAGACGATAGTTTGGAAGGTGCGCAGAGGGAGTTCCATCGCTTTTTCAAATTAGGGCGTCATGGTCGCGTTCCTTCAAAACACACGATAAAAACTTGGGTTCAAAACTTTGAAGAGACTGGATTTGCTCTGAAAAAGAAACCGACAGGACGACCAAAAAGTGTTCGTACCCAACAGAATATCGAAACTGTACGCGTTTCAGTCTTACAGAGCCCACGGCGTTCAGTTCGTAAGCAAGCAGCTGCGGTCAGAGTGTCCCGAGAGAGTGTTCGCCGAATTCTCCGTTTTGATTTAAATTTTCATCCGTACAAGCTGCAAATTGTGCAACAGCTGAAGGAGAACGATCACCAGTTGCGATTACAATTCTGTCAGCAAATTATGACAAGCATAAACGAGGACAATGAATTTCTGGACAAGCTGTGGATGTCAGATGAGGCCCATTTCCATCTTACAACCCTAAAGAAGTTCATGAACGCCCTTTACACGCCAGCAAGGTCACAGTATGGTGTGCAGTTTCGTCACACGGGGTCATCGGACCTTACTTTTTCGAAAATGAAGACCGGCTCACAGTGACTGTCACTTCGGATCGGTATGTTGAGATGTTGCAAACTTTTGTTGCACCTGCATTGAAAAATTTCCCACAACTTCACGAAACCTGGTTTCAGCAGGATGGTGCGACATCGCACACTGCAAGGCAATCAATTGCAGCTGTGCGAGAAATGTTTGGTAATCATGTCATCTCAAGATTCGGTGACATTCCTCGGCCCCCAAGATCACCGGATTTATCAGATTGTGATTTTTTCTTGTGGGGCTACCTCAAGAGTTGGGTCTACACGACTCGGCCAAGGACACTGGATGAATTGAAACAAAGAATTGAAGAAGAAATTCGTGGTATCCCAGCTGAGATGTTGCAGCGATCAGTGGGGAACCTGAACATCAGATTAAGGAGAATGTATACGTAGACAAGGAAGCCATCTGCAGGACGTAATTTTCAGAAATTGATAATTTGGATTGTTGTTTCTTAAAAGGCAAGTTGTAGTGGTTCAATTACTGTCAATAAAATTTGTTGTTGTTGCATGTATTCTATTTTTATTTGTTTGCCAAAAGTTCCCGTTTCTCTGTGTCACCTTGTACAAATCAAATTATTATTTACTAAACTGTGAATTAAAATCTTAATACTATAATGTTACAATCCAAATTTTCGGAAATAAAACGCCAAACTCATCTACAATACCAAGCACTACACGTCCCTTCAGGTCATTCAGTTCGCTTCATTTGCAGGCGTTGAAGGGAACAGGTCAATGTTCATCACGTGGTACTGCAATTTTGCCAATAGATGGCAATAATAATTCTTGTTCCATAATAAAAAAGATACGTCCCTTTTACTGTTATTTTCAGTTTCCTGTAGGTCGAATGATAAGTAATAATCAGTGTTCACTCTACTCCTGCTTTATTAAGACTCAGAAATTTGTCGAAGTCAAAGTCAAAGTCATGTTACAATTGACGGTCAGTCAGTCTGTCTGTCTTGGTGTCAAGCCCCAGCTGGGGCTCATGACCAGATGTTTTCTTCATTGTGAAAGTTGCAGTCCTGTCCATTTGGTGCGCCCTCTCTGACGAGAGGTCAGGTCTGTCATTTGTCATTCAGTCTGTATTTACATAATTTACAAATCCACACTTATACCTTCTATGTGCAATATATACAGGGCCTCTGTCAATCCAGCCATTGTACAGCAGATTATGCCCTATTTCTAGTAGTAATCGCTATCACTACAGTCTAGTCAGAAATTTCAGAGTCAGAGTCAGAGTTACATTGCGACTGACGATCAGTCAGTCAGTCCGTAAGGCTTGGTGTCAAGCCCCATTTGGGGTTCATGACCAGATATTAATTATTATCGTTTGACAGTTACGGTCTTGTTTCTGTGGGGTGCCTTCTCTGACGAGAGGACGGGTTTGTCTTTTACATATGCTGCTGGCTCTTGCCAGCGCAGTCTTTCTCCGGTCCAAGTCCCTTGGGATTCGCGACCATATTTTACTGTCTCAGAATTGAGACTTGAGGGAGAGAGAGAGACACACACACACACACTTGTGGATCATCTTCAGAGGGAACATCAATATTTATTCGGAAATCACCATCACAATAGGAGTTCTGATTGCTAAATTACATACACACATAATGCCTGGAATACACAATGTACACAATATTCAACTTTTCACAATCACAGCAGCCTTCCTGGTATTAAAAATTTTAAAGTGTTTAAAAAATTTAGCTTACCTGGACCTAAATATAAGAGACGGCCCTTTAAATTCCGGTAATGGCTGCGGGACTGATTTAATTTAAATGCCCGCGATTATATAGCAATAAAAATTGTAATCATTTACTAAAATTTCTGTGGTTTCTACAATTTTTGCGATAAACGAGCCAAATAAACGCTGCTTTTTTCTAGAAAGAATATAGACTCAGATATTGTAATTTGCAGACTTTATAAAATGTGTAAAAATTTTTAGACTGATTCCAACTAAAAAATTCCCCAATTTGTCGTCTGTCTACAAGAATTCATACAGTTCTTGCAAGTATGAATGCGGCTGATGTGGCAACACAGCAGATGCTAATGTAGCGAATGTTTAGTCTTGCATTTCTCAATGTTTATTCACGTACGTTCTTTCGGCATGCAGAGATGTGGGAGAGTATCTATTCGTTTATAAGAACCCTGATTGTTTATTATCGCTTATAGCTACACAACAAGTTCTCTGTTCTGACACTACTGGTGTTAGATTATAAGAACTTTCAAGGTTAGCGTCCTTATACCACAGCCAAGCAGTGTCAAAGCTAGCATTCTGCGAAGTTGTGAACCAACCATTGCGTCGTCTCGTTTGGAAGACTCGGACATATTTCAGCTCATAAATGACTCCGAATCAGATTGTTGTACCGATAATTCTGAGAGTGGCGTTGAGGAAAGTGAATCAGAAATTGATTTCGACGAAGAACCATCATCTTGGTCGGCAACCTGGGGACCAACACACCAACAAGGCAATAGGAGTGTGAATAATTATTCAGGTGGAGCTGTCGGCAAACAGTTATAGCATCTATCGTCGAACCTGGAAATGGACAAATAAACTATTTTCCATCTCCTGGATCTGGACGGTTACATCCTGTTGTCACACAGAGAATTTCGTCTCGCTCTTGTGCGGAACATGCTGGAAGGGGTCCACCTCGCCCTCAACGGCCCAGGGGTCGAACCCCTGCCGTTTCATCGGAGACATCTCGATTAGAGGAGGCCAAACCACAACACTGGCGGTTGATTTCGACGAAGAAACATCATCTTGGTCGGCAACTTGGGGACCACCACACCAGCATGGCAAGAGAAGTGTGAATAATTATTCAGGTGGAGCTGTGGGCAAACTGTGGCAAACAGTTATAGCATCTGTCGTCGAACCTGGAAATGGATAAATTTTTCCATCTCCTGGATCTGAACAGTTACATCCTGTTGTTACACAGAGAATTTCGTCTCGCTCTTGTGCGGAACATGCTGGAAGGGGTCCACCTCGTCCTCAACGGCCCAGGGGTCGAACCCCTGCCGTTTAATCGGAGATATCTCGATTAGAGGAGGCCAAACCACATCACAGGCCTACTTCCTCTACTTCGTAATTCAGGTGTCGTGTGTGCTCTTCGCGTGGGAAACGAAGAACCGTCCGGACAAAGTGCGTGAAGTGTGACGTCGGACTCTGCATTTCCGAATGTTTCCAAGATTTCCACACGAAGCCAACATTCCGTTAGATGACGCAGGTGGGAAGACAGACAACTTATAAAGCTGGTGTCCAAAAATCATATAAGTAGAACAATAATTTATACTCAAAATTATATTTAAAAAAGCCGTACGCACGCGTGGACTGCGCGTCCACATTTGTGGTCATTCGTCGCCTTGACTTTATTTTTGTGTCCACATATGTGGTCTTTAGGCTTTAAAAGGTAGACACAGACACATAGAAATGGAAATATACAGAAAACCCACGACAGACATAACTATAAATAATAAATCATGCCACCTTACAGAACAAAAATTGCCAGCATATAAAAATTGGATACACAGACTTCTCACACTACCCATAGAGGAAAATGCTAAAAACAAAGAACTAAATACTATTATTAATATAACACTAAATAATGGCTATAGAAAGGAAGACATCACACATCTATATAACAAACTTAAGCGAAGGATGGGTAATCCGGATAATAAAGACGAAAAAGAACGAAATGGGTCACTTCTACTTATACAGGAAATTACATACGAAAAATCACGAAACTATTCAAAAATACTAACAAAAAATAGCCTTCAAAACAGCCAACACAATACGAAAACTAATAAATGAAAAACGAGAAATAAACCCCTACGAACAAAGTGGGATATAGGAAATAACATGTCAAAGTTGCCAAACCAAGTCATACCCTAATAAATGAATTCAACCCCCCTTTATACTCTCGGCCGTTGCTATGCAAAAATCAGTCTAGTACTTCTCAGTCAGAAATTTGATACAGAAGTACGCCTTATAGACATACAAACTTATACCCATAGTAATACATAACAATATAAAGATATTTTTGTTACACAAGTAACTGTAGTTACACATAACGGTAAACATCACTTAGGTCAAGGTCAAGGCCATGTTACAACTGACGGTCGATCAGTCTGTCTGTCTTGGTGTCGAGCCCCAGCTGGGGCTCATGACCAGATATTTCTTTTGAATGAAAGTTACTGTCCTGTCCATGTGTAGCGCCCTCTCTGACGAGAGGTCGGGTCTGTCATTTGTTAGTCAGTCTGTATTAATAAGTCCATTGTCTGTATTTACACATATTTACAATACACACTTATTCCTTTTTTAAATGTACTATATTTACACGGCCTCTGTCAGTCAAGGCTCAGTACAGCAGATTACGCCCAATTTCTAGTATTATTCGCCACCACGGCAATCTAGTCACTTGAACGGTCGTATGCCTGACCGCCGCCAAGTTTAAGCCTCTTATACTTTCTGTCTCGGGCTTGGCCTTCTCCGATGTTGCGAACATTCTCATTCTCATGATTTTATATGAC